TAAAAACTTTATAAAACACAACATGAGAGTAGTTTTCAGATTAACACTAACATGACACTAGTAAAAAAGACTATTCTTTGAAATAAAAGACAGACCATACACATAATATTTAATAATAGAAGACTAAATATGAAAAATTGACCAATTATAGATAATGCTCTTAAAAGAGGGGTATAAACTTAGCGCACACATCCTAATACTTTTTGACTTATTATTTTCTTTTGTTTTTTTTTTGAAGCAATTTTCTTTTGTTTTTAAACAAATGTCTTGGGTTGATTTTCACGATGTACAAAAAAAATAAACTTTATAGAGGTTTATATATGTGAGGGAAAAATAATGTGACCACTCCTTTCTTCCATTAAGTAAAATAAAACATTTGTTTAGGGCAACTAAAAAAACCATGACATTTTTTGGGGATGGGAGTACTTTTTAACACACCTTTTGGAAATTATGTCACTATAAGTTTTAATTTTCCATTAAATCAACTTTTTGCTCACTACTCATTAAACAATTTTATACTTGGTGCAAATTATATTCACACCATACAAAATAATTTTAAATTATGGCGAACTAGAATATTTTAGTTCTATCAAATGAGAGGTCAAAGGTTCAAATCTTAATAAAGGTTTTGACTTGTCCTTTAGTATGTTGAGAAAGTATATATGAACAAATCAGGGGCATCTAAAGAACAGTTTAAGCCATACAATTGCCCAAAGCTCCAAAAAGTGAGAGACCTATTTTTAGGAAGTAATATATACGGAGTACTCCATATTCTTTTATGTAAAATAGTATGATACGGATAGTTAATTAGAATATTTTAATTAGTTATATTATATGATAATAGATTAGTTATATTATTTATTAATTAGTAGTCTTTATTAATATTTTATATTTAATCTAGTTTAGGGTTTAGTTACTTTAGTACGGGCCCGAGCCCATTAGGTCATTTTGTGTTACCGTATTACTCTCTATATATTGTAATCCTTTCCCGTTATTATGGAATCAATAAAGAAATATCAAAACTCTAATCTCCTTCTCTATTCTCTTGGATCCCGAAAACGCTCGAAGTTTTCCATCTTTCTCTACCTCATCTTCTTGGAGCTTGAAGAACGCTCGAAGTTCTTCNAAGCCATACAATTGCCCAAAGCTCCAAAAAGTGAGAGACCTATTTTTAGGAAGTAATATATACGGAGTACTCCATATTCTTTTATGTAAAATAGTATGATACGGATAGTTAATTAGAATATTTTAATTAGTTATATTATATGATAATAGATTAGTTATATTATTTATTAATTAGTAGTCTTTATTAATATTTTATATTTAATCTAGTTTAGGGTTTAGTTACTTTAGTACGGGCCCGAGCCCATTAGGTCATTTTGTGTTACCGTATTACTCTCTATATATTGTAATCCTTTCCCGTTATTATGGAATCAATAAAGAAATATCAAAACTCTAATCTCCTTCTCTATTCTCTTGGATCCCGAAAACGCTCGAAGTTTTCCATCTTTCTCTACCTCATCTTCTTGGAGCTTGAAGAACGCTCGAAGTTCTTCTCTATCCGATACGATATTCGTATCAATTTTGTGTTTTCATCCATTTTCGCCTGCCAGAAAAAGAAAAAAACCTGAAAACAAGCAGCCTATCATGCAGTATGATTTTTCATCGCGAATGGAGGCACAATTTGCACGGTTAGAGATTTTAATTAATAGTGTATATGCACTGGACAAGCTTATTCATTTGCTAGAGAATGTTCTATATGGAGAAATTGAGCACGACGAAGGAGTGTGTGGAGTTTATGATCATGTGGATGAACTTATAAAGACGCTCCGGTCGTTTCGTCATACTACTGGTCAGCCAAATTATGACTCCGACTTGTACGCGTTTGATGTAGAAATCTCTTGCTCCGTATAAGATTTTGTTCGTGGTTCCCCAATTTTGCTGAGTTTGATTCCTTGGGAGTTACAAAACTTTAGAACAAACATGTTGGGCGCTATAAAAATTCTCATTGACACTCCGCCTTCTGCGCCAAATGTGGTCTCTACAGTAATTGAGCAAAACGCTGAAGCACAGGATCACACATCCAAGGAGGAATCAAGCGTTGACTCACAAGTTGGAGATGAAGTGGACATCGGACCTGAAGCCATAAACAAACATAACAGAAGGTCCAACGTTGTGAAAAAAATCAAAGTGCTCTTGCTGAAGATGTTGCCAATGTCGACAAGCCAGATTCTACTTTTCAGGAATTTTATACCTCAGCTGGTGGGTTCATTGCAGAGTATGATATTCCAAAAAGTGTTGACAAAGTGACAGATGCAGGTAGTAAACAAGCACGCTCACCTATTTTTATTGACACCATCAAGTTGTTTGAGCTTGTCGATGTGGTTAAGGCGGAGCACCTGGTTTCACTGAGAGCAAGTACATCTGTTATGCGCATCGTCTCATCTTTCCATCATTTTGCGGCAAGAGCCAAGATGGTTGAAGATTCAAAGGGTGGACTGCTCCTTTCGTTTTGCATTCTTTCTCCGGTCTTAAAGCACGAGTGGGAGCCTCCACCTTGAGGACAAGGTGGATTTTAAGGGGGTGGGAATGATACGGATAGTTAATTAGAATATTTTAATTAGTTATATTATATGATAATAGATTAGTTATATTTAAATAATTAATCATCAGAAATAATTATAAAATATAAATTAGATCAAATCCCAAATCAATGAAATCATGCCCGGGCTCGGGTAATCCAGTAAAACACAATGGCATAATGAGAGATATATAACATTAGGAAAGGCGTTATTATGGAATCAATAAAGAAATATCAAAACTCTAATCTCCTTCTCTATTCTCTTGGATCCCGGAAACGCTCGAAGTTTTCCATCTTTCTCTACCTCATCTTCTTGGAGCTTGAAGAACGCTCGAAGTTCTTCCCTATCCGATACGATATTCGTATCATAGTACTACGTATTTCGTAGTCATAACTGGCTTGTACATTAAATGCATGTATATTAACATAGTTAAATAAGGGGTTCTTACTTTTTTATCGGAAAAGTCTCATGTATATGACACACCATAAAACAAATATCACATTGTAATGAAGTTAATATTGTAATATCCCGTATCAAGATGGGAATGGGAAGAGCTCAAAAGGATTGATAGTACTACTCATGCCAACAAGGTGCATCTTTTTTTCGAGAGCTCATCACCTAGAAACTCCAAAGTTAAGTGTGCTTGACCTAGAGCAATTTTAGGATGGGTGACCCCCTGGGAAGTTTTTCTTGGCGCGCACGAGTGAGGACAAAGTGTGCGGGAAAGACTTGTGTTGATTTGTGGGGTCAGTCTACAATCCTATGAGCGAACACTTACGGCCGGGGTGTTACAAATAGTGCTCAAAAACCAAGTGATTTGGTAATACCTGAGCATATAAATACGATTCAAGTCAAGTAGAATAATGTTTTTAAACTAAAAGATTTGCCTAGATTAGCTCTTTGATCGAATCAATGAACTTCTAGTCTCCTAGATTAGCTCTTTGATCGAAGCAATTGTTGTGTTTCATTTCTAGCAACAATTTGAAAGCTTGGATATGCTTAGAAGATGATTGAGATTTGGAAATCGTACGCTGAGTAAGGAACCGAAGAAATCAATCAAATGCTTATTAAGTACTAACAAATCAGTATGTCATGACTCACTGTGGCTACAATTTGGCTATTTTTAAAAAGATATCCAATCGTAAGATTTAAATATTTTAGTGTAATAACTTATTTTATGTAATTAATTTTTTTAAAATCAAGACAAAAAATTTAATTCGGAGTAGACTTTAACAAATTTTCTTCTAGTTTTTTCCAGTTTCTTCGAGTTCTTCCAGTTCCTTCTAGTTCCTTCCAGTTTCTTCCAACTTTTCTCGTTTTCTTCAAATTCTTTCTACTCCTCAACCAATTACTCTAAAAATGATATATTTTAATGTGATTATTATTATTATTATTATTATTATTATTACAACTATTATATTCATAACTATAGTTTATAAATTATTTTTTCATCTCACTATTTTTGCGATTCACACTTATTATTTTTTTCAGCTTTTTAATATGAATAAGACATTTTTTTTGTATATATTAGTCTACATGATAAAACAGGAAAACATCAATATGTTAAATTATACTAAAAACATTATGGATAAAATAGTTACATTGAATGTTTTATTAATATAATTTTTTATAAGACATCTCAGTTTTCCTTTTATTACTTAAAAATTGCTCATTTTTCCAATTTTTATAAAAAAAATTGTAAGTTTAAAGAGCTTAGAGAAAAAGACTAAAATATGAGTAAAACATAAAAAATGTAAACAAAAAAGTTCTATGTCTTTATTCCAAAAATAGAAATTCAATGAAAATAAAATGTCAATCATGAAAGAAACAATAGGTTTGATTATGTGACATGTATGATATTTAAAACAAAATGTTTTAATATATAAATTATAATTACAAATATATTATTTATAATAAATACTGCATAAATAAATTGAGGTGCAATATAACTAGAAAGACTTCTTAAATTTTAATATTTTTATATTTATGCTAACTTTATATTATACTCCATAATTATTTTTTGCAAAAGTAGTTTTTTGTATTTAAAGAATAACAATACTTTTGTTATATTTTAAATACATTGAGTAAGATAACGTGATGATGATGATGACGATGATGATGATGATGATAATAATAATAATAATATAATTAATAATAATAATAATTTATAACAACAAGAATTTAAAATAAATATTTTTAAAGTTTTTTTTTTAGGTTTTTCAATTTTTTGAAGTTTTTCTAGTTTCTTCCAGTTCTTTCCAGTTTTTTCCAGTTCGTTCCAGTTCCTTCCAATTTTTTCCAGTTTCTTCTAATTCTTCCAGCTCCTTCCAATTTCTTTTTTGTTTTTTCCCGTTTCTTCCGGTATCAAATTTCAACTGATAGGGAATGGGGAATCACGCGCAGACGAATATGGGTTGTTGCAGGCCAGCCATGAATGTTTGTCTGGTTCGACAAAGATAAAGTTGGGAATACTACCTAGTACTGTCTCCATAGCCGATGATCCCACTCACCCAGTCGTCTACCACAACCAACCCATTACTTCTCTTCCTGAGATCGGAAATTCTTACCCCCCGCCGGATTTTCAGTATTCACTTTGCCTGCGCCGAAGTCATCTTCGATCTTTCATAGCTCCGCCATTTATGGACCATCTGGAAATTATTCATTCCCCAACTCACGATCACAGGTTTGGGTTCCTTTTTCCATTCTTTTCTTTTTCTCCACTTTCGTTCTTCCCTCTTCTTGCTTGCCCATGGATCTGATCTTTTCTTGCTTTCTTGGGTTTCTTTTTGTTTTTCCCATCATTTTCTTGACCCAAAATTAATGGGTTCTAGTGAAAATTAAAAGGTGTTTGCCTGTTTGGTTTATGTTTTCTGACAAGCTAAGGTTGGATCTTTGTATGGTTTTGATTGAGCTGTGTGATCCAAACTCTCAAATTCTTGATTCGGATCTTTATGGGTAAGATGGGTACTTCCGGTTAGGTTCAATTTTCTGCAATTCTTTGTTCAATTTGGGTTGGTTTGGATGAATAAGATCTTGAGTTGATCTGATTCAAAAGATGTGCATAAGGTGCCCTAATTAACACTCTTTGACTTAAAAATAGATAGACAAACAAAATAGTGGAACACTTTTATGATTCATTCTTTTTATAAATAAAAATTGGCACTTTTCTTGGTGAATGCAGCAAAACTGTGACCATTTTTTTTAAAAAAATAAAGAATGTTTGAATTGCTAGATCTGGAAGCAGCAAACATCATATGACAGCAGTTCTTCTACAAACCAGCCTCACAAACTTGAACAAGAAACGAAAACTCGAAGCCCAGCAATTCGGGTTACCTCTTCCAAAGCATCTATGCGCCTACCAAACCTTTCTCAGGAAATACAGTTCTTTACTTGAGGATATCCCAGAGAGTGAACATGAAACCACTGAATCTGTGGAAGACAGTAATACCATTACAGAAGACATTGATAGTGCCATGTCCATTGAAACCAAACCCTCCTCGTCTAACTGTCCTTCCCCTTCAGAAGCCAGCTTGGATTCTGGTTGGTCAAGGGATGCATTGTACTCATTGGAGAGCAGGTGTGTTACCAAACCAGATTTATATGCCGGAAACGAGTACGATTTTCTTGAGCAGGATTTCGGGTGGCAATTCGGAGATCATCATCATCATCATCATCATAATCATGTAGACTGCATTTGCGCAGAATGTGAGAAGGAGAAAATTGGAAGACCAACCGAACAAGAACTGGAGGACATGTTATACTCTAATGGTGTGATCCCTAACAGTTTTGTTCTCTCATCTGGAAGATGGAAAGTAGGCCAGCAAGGTATTGTGATTCTATTCTTCATCTTTTTCTTTCAAAATAAAGAATAAAAAGTTGCCCGAGTAAGAACAAGAATATAAGATGATAATACTTGAACTTTTTTTATGTTGTTGAATGCAGAAAGTGAAGAAGGCAAAAAGAAGCTAACGATTGACAAAGAGTTTGAGCAATACTTTGGTACGCTTATGCTGCAATGATAACTTTCGGACGGGTTGTGTACATACATCTGTTCAATATCATGTTGATCTTGTACTAATAAGAGCCTCCAATCTGTAACCGAAACTATAGCTTGGGCAACCATGTTTACTCTCTTGTTTGATCAATATGATGTGTTCGGTTGCATTCTGTAAGTGATGAATGTGTTTTTCCTCCAAATTTTTGTGCCAAACAATGACCATAACAACAAACCCGGGAAAATCACCCGTAATTAGAGATTATTTATGCAATTTCTTCTTTTATAAATTTAATGAGGTGACATGGTTTTCAACAGGGAAGGTGCATTAAAAAAAACCCACTTTTCTTTCATTTTGATTAAAAAACGAAAGATTTTTTCCGTTCCTTTTTCGATTTCATGAACCAAAAAGATAAGAATAGAAGACAACATTAGGTTGTTATAATTGTACACACTAGACAACATGAAAACGAACTCCAAATTAAGTACTCGAACGAACTGGTGGGTAGATCAGATCATCACTATCACTATGCATACATATATACACGGATAAATATATACAGAGTATATTGGCATTAATACGTTGACACCAAAGTCCGACACTGCGTGTTTCACAGACATACACACACAAATAATGATTAATGTTTATGCGATACGGACAATGATTCTCTGTATATATAAATTAGTCCGTAGTAAACACGCATGATTTGGTGTCAAATTAAGTTTGTGTGACTATAATATATTTATATGTAGGGGTGGGTGCCTGGTCTAGCTAAGCTAGATCGATCAGAACTCAGAAACCTTGGAGAGAAGTAGAATATCTACTTGTACAATGAGTGTGTCATTTACTAGGTAACCACTCTCCAACTTGTTCAGAGACATGAATTTGTGCACCCCATACCCGGATAACTTCGGGTCGTCGAAAAGATGTTCCACTGCAAAAACAATAAAAAATTAATAATAATAATAATAATAATTTAAGTACTCCGTATATTAATTAGTACCAAGAAAACTGATTGCAAAAACGGCAAATAATTTAAGTAAGGAATTAATATTACTATACCATAAGTTTCATGGTGCTGTGTAGCGTTGAGTTGATTACAAATTCGCAACTTATACTTTGCGTACAATTTTGCTGCATTAAGGTTTTCATACTGTGCAGCGGACAACATCAGATAAAGGGATATGCTGTGGCCTTTTCCAGTTGAGGATCCCTTGGGATATAGCTTTAGGGTCCTTGCATTTAAACAAGTATTTATATCGTGAAATTCGTAATGAATGGTACTAAAACTTGAGCGTCTCAGATCATCAAAACTGACACGGAGCACTATATGCATACATACCATTTGATCCCTTCAACGAAGAATTCATCAGACGTGACAGATTCGGACGTTATGGACGCGAAACGGTTTATTCTCCAAGTGTAAGTGGTGTTTTCCTTGCTCGTAGGCATAATGGAGAGACATTCGCGTTTTGGGGCATTTGAAATGACAAAAACCTCAGCCCCAAAAGCGCACGTGTCGTCAACCAGATAGCCATTGGAAGGGTTGTTGAAAATAGAGAGTGGGAGAAATTCGTCCAACCCCCATTGAGTTTTCATGTAGTGAAATCGCCTCACTTTCTCCCCACCATCTATCATTTGACAAAATAATATATATTCAGGTTTATTAGAATTATTTTTTTCAAAAAATAGGTACATTAGTACTGGCTAAAGTTGATCTGATTTGACCAGAAACGTCAGAACTAGGAAATCTCTAGAGGCAGCAGAAGAAGAAGTTAAGTATGAAATATATGTATGTGTACCTTGGATTGTCAAGTATTTGTCATTGATTTGATCATAGACAAAGAAAGTAAACCTAGCGTGAACCTCCCATCCTCGGGGAAGACTATCAGTATCAACGATTCGTAAGCAAAGGGAGATATAATGCTCGTCCTCATCATCATCATTCTCATCACCATTCTTTGCTTTTTTGTTATATCCAGCCTTTGTATAAACACACAACTTCCTGCATTATGTGCACAATTAATTGTATTCAGAGGAAGAATTGAAATAGTACCAAATGAATTGCATTTGTTAGTTAATTAACGGATCTTATATGTATTGTGGAGTATTATTTGGTATGCACGTACCATTTCTTCTGGGAGGCTTCGAAAACTCCAGACTCGAGTTTGTCAATTCCAGATTTTGTGAGCTGAGAGAAAGAACGTATCATGAAAATGAAGTGAGACGGAGGAATACCTCTACTGCTACTCCACTTCTCAACTCCTCTAGTAGTTTTGGAACCCATGTGTGTGTGTTTGTGTGTTTTACCAAATTGTTTAAGCTCGATTTATTTATTGTATGTTCTTCTTCGTGCAATATTTAAGTTTTATCTATATATACTAGCTGTATGTATATGTATATATAGTTCCCGGCTGGGGGGGAGATAATATACTTTACCATGGAGAGAATTGAATACTTCACGAAAAGGTAATGGATTTTCGAGGATTTAGCATAGTTTTGGGGAGGGATTGCTTTTCCGAAGGAAGCAGGCTAATAATAAGCATATGATTGATCATAGGAAGAAGAGTACTGGTGCTTGACTTGTCGTTTGGATGATGCAAGTTATAACAAGCTTCAAATTACTCATATCATGTTGCTTCCAATTTGGCTTCTTTTTTTTTTTTTTTTTTTTGTTTTTGGGAAACAAGAATATTTATGTTTGTATTTTGACTTTTACGAATCAAACTAGATAAGTTTTGTACCTCAATTAAATAGTTGCCTTTTGTTTGATTCATTTTATGGAAAATGAGGAAATTGAAATTGAAATTATCAAAGCTACCTTAGATCTAAACAAAGATTCCATGTAATTGGAATTGAAATCAAACCTAAGCTTCGTCGTCTAATGCAAATCTAAACTATGAAATCACATCTGGGAGTTCAGTCATCCAGTGCAAATCTAAACTATGAAATAGAGATATTATAAATTGTTTAATTCGGTCCTGTTTGGTATCCGTGTTAAAAGTTAACATTAATATTTTGAAAAATCTGTATGACGATAGCTTTTAATATAGCATTCTTAGAATTAATTTAGAGCATTAAAAATTTATCCAAAATATTAACTTTAATTTAAAGGCGACTTTCAAACAAGACATAAAATGGGTGGCAGATGTATTAATGTACATCCATGCTAGGGGTACACCAAAAGTGTACCCCAAGTTATACCTCAAAGAAATGCATCGATACTTTAACGGTTCACACTGGCAGATAATGTTAGTTCAATTAAAAAAAATTTAACTGACATTTTTTATCAATGTAAATCACCACACTAGCATCACACAAGCACAAAATGTAAGTGCATGTCTTTAGAGTATAAAATAGGGTACAAATTTTGGTATAGTTAATCCATTAATGTATTTAAGAAATTCAAATGAGATCGTACGAGTAATTAATTTTCCTTCAAAGAAAATACGAGTAATTAATTTCAGGATAACCTACTCTTCTTCCTCGGTTCCTCCATCAAACACAACACAGGACGAAGCAGAACCCTTTTGGTAACGGCAATGGCGGATGGTAAAAGAACTGTTCTTGTTACCGGAGCCGGTGGAAGAACCGGTAAGTTTTCGACTTTCTATTGTACTGACAAAGGGTTCCGTTAATTTTCCATTCATCCCTATTTTTGTTTGTCAAATATGTGCAATTCAATTCGTGACATTAAGAAAAGAGTGTTGAAGAACGAGAAGTCAGTGGTTAGAATTTGTTCAGAAGAAGAGACATATTTTGGGACATTATTTTGAGACAGATAAAGAAATGAAATGTTTGAAAAACTATTGTGTGAAGGAGGGGAGTATATATTTTTACAAAAAAAAAAAAAAATAGTTCCTCGTTTACAACATTGAATTGAAAGCTTAGAATATACAGAGTGGAGTATCTATCAATGCAAAATGTATTCAGATGCCTGAGTTTCTTTCAACACCCATTAAGAAATTTTTTTCGTTCATATTTTAGATAATGAGACACTATTCAGCAATCTTAATCTTGTAGAAAAGCTGATAACATTGCAAACAAACTAGAAAATGCTTAATAATTCGATAGTATTTCGTTGATGAAGATGTTAGTTTGGGATCTTCATAGCATATAACCATAGAGCTCTTTGTGCCGGTGGGCAGGGAAAATTGTTTACAAGAAGCTGAAGGAGAGTTCGGAGGAGTACATAGCAAGAGGGTTGGTGAGAAGTGAGGAGAGCAAGGAGAGCATTGGGGGTGGAGATGATGTTTACATTGGCGATATTAGGGACGCCGAGAGCTTAGTTGCTCCGGTTCACGGTGTTGATGCTCTTATAATCCTTACAAGTGCTGTCCCAAAGATGAGACCCGGTTTTGATCCTACGAAAGGGGAAAGGCCGGAGTTCTACTTTGAAGAGGGGTCATACCCCAAACAAGTGAGCAGGCTTTTGTAGTTTTGATGATGAGTTATGTGCTTGTGTTGTGTTTGTCTTTCTTTCTTGTGCCGCACGTTGGTAATGGTTGATGTGTTTCAGGTGGATTGGATTGGGCAGAAGAATCAGATAGACGCAGGTAATTCAGAGTACTGAAGGGTTTTTTATTTGTAGTCTGTCCTTAAATTTGATGAACACAACCTGCCAGATTGTGAGTCCTTGTGAATTTTTCAGCCAAGGCTGCTGGAGTGAAGCATATTGTGCTTGTTGGGTCAATGGGTGGAACCAACCCTAATCACCCACTAAACAGCTTGGGAAATGGAAACATATTGGTGAGAATCTCAAATCAACCCCCACCCCACCCCCAAAGATATATAAATATGCAGTATCCAATAGGTTTAATGGAATGCTTTTTTATGACAGATTTGGAAGAGGAAATCTGAGCAATATTTAGCAGACTCTGGAATCCCATATACCATTATTAGGTATTCATTCTATTCTCAAGTCATCTGTAAAATACAAACGCACATATACGGTCTTGGGATAGTTCTATCATATTTTAGAAAATGACCCATTTTTGGAAACAACCTCTTGACTCTGTAAGTAGGGGTAATGTCTGCATACACACACCTTTCTCATACCCTACTTTTTGCGGGGTCTTTTCCGGGTTTGTTGTTGAATCGCACGAGTGTGATATTGGGTATTTATGTCTGTCTCTCTCTCTCTCTCTCCCCTCTCTGACGCTGGCGTGCAGAGCTGGGGGATTGCAAGACAAAGATGGAGGTGTGCGCGATCTTGTTGTTGGCAAGGACGATGAGCTTCTTCAGACAGACAACCGAACTGTTCCTAGGGCCGATGTTGCACAAGTCTGCATTCAGGTGAAACTGATCATCATCATCATCACCACCACCACCACCATAATCATCATCATTTTTGTTAATGTATGTATGCATGTGAAATTGATTGAGTTGGACATGTATTTGCTGAACTCAGGCACTGCGGTTTGACGAGGCAAAAGCCAAGGCATTCGATCTGGGCTCGAAGCCTGAGGGCAGTGGAACCCCAACAAAGGATTTCAAGGCCCTTTTCTCACAGATCGACGCCCCTTTCTGATTTTCTTTTTAGTACTCCTCATGTCTTTTGATCCACAAATGGCAGAATTATAGAATATGTAATAATGCCAGTGACATTTGAACTTTGATTTGGAAATGGTTATCTTATTCTGTGTTTGGCACGGCCATTTGTGTTAAACTGAATATATATACTTATGGCATTTGATGGCAAGTCTTGATTACATGAAATTGGAATTAAGGTTTGTAAATGATGAAGTTTGAAGATGTATCATGTATGTACACTATGAGAGTGTCTTCCCTCCGTCCCTAAAAGAACAAACTGCTTTCCTTTTTCAGCGGGTCCAAATAGAAGTTTTCGTTCTATTTACGGGAAAAGATACGTGATTTACATTATTTCTTTTTCTTTGCATAGACTTTTATCATATAATTTTAATTTTTTTAAAGTCTATAGAAGGAGGAACGAGTTTTTAAAAATGAATAGAGTAATACTTCGTATTTTATATGCATGTAAATTCATGAATAAAATATGAGGTAAAATTAAATAACTTTGCTCATTTCTGCACTGCGTCTATATTTATTGTAATGTGATTGCTTATTTAATTTTCTAAAAGATCTTGGCACATGAATCAAAGAGAAAGGGTAAAAATGCCGGAGCGTCAATGCCGACCACGACAACCGTCCATCGCCTCCGCCGCCTTGAATGCTCGCGATGATGAACGCCTGGTTCCTCAGTCGGCATTCTCTGTTTAACTTTTAAAAACAATTAAGGGTCATCGAGATCTTTTTCTATATAGGGAATATGAATCCTTTCACTTTTTGCCATTAAATTTTTAACCGACATATTTTTAGGTAGCGCAAATAAGAAGTTTTGCGACATGGTTTTGTGATCTTTGATACACGGAATTGACGGAATTAGAACCAAAATTCTATGAAATTGAATTCTTTAATTCTAATTTATTTTTTGCACTGTCAATTCCATATCTACATAATTTTGTGCTACCAAATAGCAGAAATGGAATTAAAGTACCTAATTCTAATTTCATAGTTAGAATTCCGTGTACCAAACAGAGTCTAAATGGACTTTTAGTTGAATAAATTAATGATCCGATTTTTTTCTCTAATTTGAGTGATTGTAGCTTAGTAAATGCATGTTTGGGGTTTACAAAACATTTTTTGTATGGAATTATTTTGTTTTGTATTGATTTTTTTCTCAAATTAATATTTTTGATAAAAGAAAGTTAGATTTTACTGGTGTATATAATTTTTAAACTTCATTTTATAAAAATCAGAACTATCATTATATTCTGTATTATAATTATTTTATTGCTTGTTTGCGATAATTTTTTTCACAATTTTTGTCATTGCGCAATGCTTTTAAAAAACTTCAGGGCACTTTTCCCAGGAGGAGTTCCCTTGATACCGGTCCCAGTATGGTGCCAGTGGAGTTTCGTTTCGAACTCACCCCAGACACCTTCAGTTTCATCTTTTAAGTTTTCTTGAATTTAGCGTCAAATTTTTTGACCCTATAGTCAACAAAACTTTGAGAATGAAAATATGAAATCAAAGGTATTGGGATGGATACAGGCCTGGTGATGGATTAGGGGTGTAGGAATCATCAAAATTATGATGAAACACCGTATATATTTCAATTAGAGCCGATATCATTCATTGACACTTAGTTTGGTGTCAACAGAACCTAGACGATCTTATTATAACACTTAATTTATTAGAACCAGTTTGGAAGTACGTAGTAACATTTTAGGTGTTTATTTTTTTATGGAAATCATTTTCCTCTAAAAGTAATTTTTTTAAAAAATATTTTCCCGTCTCCCAAACTAATCCTTATTTTAAAGGGAAAAAACTAAATAATAGTAAAGCATTGAAAATATACTAAAATAGGACTTCCATGTTTTTATTCACAAAATAGGAGTTAAAATGTATTTACATTACCAAACGTAGTCATGTACATTATCAAAAAGTATAGTAATTATATCTAGGGGTGGGTTCGGTTTTCACCCAAAACCAAAGACAAAACGGAAGGTAAATTGGCGGTTCGGTTTGGTTCGGTTTTGCATAAAAAATATGTAAACCGTTGGTTATTCGGTTCGGTTTTATACGGTTTTTATTTCGGTTTTTTTCGGTTTTTTCGGTTTATAAAAGTAGAAATTTATAAGCATTAAAAAATTGTAAAAACACTAACTCGATGGAGCAATAACAATATGTTGTGTTAGGTTTGGTTTTTTGGTTTGAGTTTTACACAAAAACAAAAATCAAACGGAAGGTTATTGTATCATTCGGTTCAATTTTACATATAAAAAAAAAATGTGTTGAGTACCCAACAAACATTTAGGAGATTCCAAATACTTCCAAAGACATCGTATGTAAAATTAATTACGAAGAACTTGTGTTTTTTGGTATAATACTTTCATTTTCATTATAACATCAAAGTATTTTTTTATGTAAATATGTAAATTACTCGTATCATGTAGATAATGTTAATATAATTCTATATTTGGATTAGCTATTGGTGTTTATATTCTTAGATTTTTTAAAAGTTTATAATAGTATGGCTAAAATGTTTAATTAATAGTTAAGAAAATAATTTCAATCGACTAGTAATTTATTTGCATTTATATTTCTATGATTTTTCTACATATCACATATATTTATATAAAAAAAGTGAAGTATCTAAGAAAGTTCGGTTTATTCGGTTCGGTTCGGTTTTTCAAAGTGAAAACCAAAACGGAACCAAACACTAACGGTTCGGTTCGGTTTTTTTACATTCGGTTTCAATTTTTTCGGTTCGGTTTTTTTTCTAGCTCGTTTCGATCGGTTTCGGTTCGGTTTGCGGTTTTCGGTTTTCCCAACCCAGCCCTAATTATATCCACATTGCTACAATGCAAAGCTCTTATTTCGGAAATAAAAATATGAAAATGGTACTTTGATTTCTATATTTTAAATTTGGATAAAGAATAGAAGAGTATTTTCTACTAGTATGAAAGTTTGGAATTTGGATGCGGAAGAGTATGTGATCAAAAAATAAAGGAAAAAGGCAGTATCGCGAAAGAGAATGACGACGCTCCTTCCGGTGAACATCACCGGCGGTCCCTCTGAATCATTACACAAACCCATTTCTCCGGTCATCCCTAATCTCAACTTCCCCGCACTTTATCCTAATCAAAATCGTTACTACTCCATTCCTCCTCTCCCCAACATAAACGTCTGCCCTTTTATTTCTTCTCTCTATTATCGAAATCATAATTTATACTGTAGTATTTTTTTTTTAAATTGGTTTTTTTTTTAATTTCTTATCTGTTTGCAGGTCAGGTGGGCGAAGAAGAGTCGTGATCTGGTTATTGCTAATTGTTCACAGAAAACCCCCAGCCCTAGAAGCTCTCAAGGTCATTACTCTTAACTTTTGATATCTATCTTTTACTCTTTCCGTCTCAATTTAAGTTGCTTGTTTATTGTTTACATGGTCAGATTTTAGCCACGTTCTTTATCTATTTTTGCTACTCATTTGAGAAAATAATAGTGTTATCATGTATGATTTTGTAGAATTTTGGTGAAGTTTTTTATATACATAAATTTTATTTTTGAATTTCTTACCAATTTTCAAATAAATTGAAATAAAAACAACCTCAGTCGGACCTCGTAAACAACAACACAGACGATTCTTTTTGGAACGGAGAGAGTACAAATTAGGATGAAGAATTTATTTGACACTTCTGACTCATTTCTTGAAACCCAGATTTTTTCAAAAGTGGACGACTAAATTCAGACGCAGTACATTCACATGAAGAGTGAGTTGCCGAGACTAATTTTTTAAAAATGTGAATGGAATTTGAGAGTTTTACTAATTCAGGTGAGGAAGTGGATAATTTGGGGGTGAAAGCTGCATTGTCCCTGCTCATCTTCTACAAGAGTGAGTCCTTCCTTGTGTCTGTGTGTGTGTTTTTTAAATAAAATAATGAGTGTATGTAGATATGGAGTAAATTATGATACTATGGCATTATGGCACTCCTATGAGTCCCGGCGTAGGTCTTAGGACTTGTTCTCTTCACTTTATTTGATTGTGATAAGTTCTCATCTAATCTAACTTGATTGTAGTTGTAGTCAAAGGTGTTATTGATCCAGTCTAGTTTGATCTTATTCCAATAAGAATTAATAGTAAGAATTAGGTTGAAGTTGAAGAGAATAGACTCTTACTCTCCTTGACCCTTCACAAACACTCTAACCCTAGCACCCCTAGATCAACAGTCGGCTATCATCTGGGGAGGACAGAGGGGGGAAGGTTTGTGAGGAGTTAGGGAGAGAGCCGGCTTCGGGGCACAAAAAGAACATCATAAAGCTCTCAAATGATCCGAGCGTCATAATATTATTGACCGACACCCGATATGGTTTTGGCATAACTAAGTAAGAGGGTATTGATGTGATGAGCAGGAGAGATATCGCCATTGTTGCCAAAGAGTTGCAGGTACATTCCTACGTGCAGTGAGTATTCAATGGTTGCTTACAAGAAATATGGATTTGTTAAGGGCACTGCTTTGACTGCCTGCCGTCTTTGTCGCTGTAACCCTCTGGGTGGGTAATAATATAATATATATAAACCGATCTTTTTATTTTGTTTAATGATATTACAGTATTAGTTAACTACTGCTGGCACTAATTGGATGATGGGATTAGTTGACACTCCCGGTAATTATAACTTAAATGAATTAATCATACTTAACCGGCATTTAAATTACAATTACAGGAGGCTCTGGCTTCGATCCTCCGAGATGGTTTGGCGAGACGAGCCCACCGGAACAGTGAATGGAGATGAAGCGGGAGGGGTATTGTAGTAAATTGTAAGCACTTGAGCTGAGAGCAAATAAGACATATAGACCTTTTTTTTGTAGATCTTTTGACTTACAGTCTGATAAACAAAAATGTTACCTACATTAATGTATTGGAGTGTGAAAACTTGCATGCAATTGATCAATGGATGTTCAATACATTGGGTTCCAAAGCTCTCTTTCAAGTTGGGACTACTCCCGGTCCCGTTTACCCGTTTTAGAAGGCTTCGAACTCGGACGCCGCTTCTTGTATTTTTCGGATTCCACGCTTTCTTTCAATTTCTCCAAAGCTGAAAAAGAAGAAAAAATGCAACTTCTAAGAATGGAAAGAACACCAGCACTCACTTCAACTTTATAAATTCACTTGTATCAAACATTATTTTGAACTATAGAGTCCTTACTTAACCAAAGATATAACATGACCACAAGTTACAGATCCAAATGATCACCTGACGTATATACGGGCCGAAGCGACTCTATTGCTTGTGATTCAATAGGATGAGAGGGGCAAGAATCATTGTCTGCCTTTTGTAGTATTTTGTTGAATCTCTTGACCTGAAATACCAACGTTCAGTCAAAAGGGAAAGGACTCTCCAATGGTGTTAGAATCGTTTTTCAACGGTATTTATATTATATGAGTAGTTTTCTATTTAGTTATAACTTGAAGCATTCCCTTACTGTGTATTACAAGACAGCCTTTGAAAACAATTACTGTTATTCAAGCGCATTGGCTTTTGCCAGCTTAACAAGGTACAATTTCTGTGAACACCCAAAAAAGCATAGTTCTTAAACTGCTCTCTATTTTTCAACATTTTTTGTAGTATGCTTTGAATGAAGTTTTAGATATTGAAGATTGGTAGTCAGCTGATTTCAGAAAGTATCACAAGTGTGAAACATCATTTGAAATGTGGACCCTAAAGTCAAGAGTAAAAGAGATTCCATCTTTGCAGTCATATAAAGAGATAACATACCTCATCTTTACGCAACAATGTGAAGCAGTTTCCAATTTGTCCAGCTCTTGCAGTTCGTCCAGCCCGGTGTATATAGGTCTTTACATATGCAGGCATATCATAATTAATAACATTTCTCACTCCTTCAACGTCCATTCCACGTGTCATTGCATCAGAAGAAATGAGTACTTGAACTTCACCCTCGCGGAAGGCTCTTAGTGTCTTGCTACAAACCAAATTTTAATGGTACGAGCTTAAAATTGCATTGGTTAACGCAAAATTGAGCATCTGGTTGAAATGAAAAAAAATATGACCATAGAGATAAAGAGCTTAAAACACATTGACTGTGTCTACAACCTCCTTGTTGACTGTCGCTGAAGACGTGAATACTCCTTGATCTGAATTTGCAAATCAGTAAAAAAGTTAAGCAAGGTGCATAGTCTGTGAGTTGATTCCACAGATGAAGTGAATACGATGGATTTCTCCCCTTTCAAAGCTTTAAGAAGAGCTATCAGGTATAGTGGTTTTAGTGATGATTCGCATATCTGTGAAAGAAAGAACATGGTAATTAATGAACAGTATCATTTATGTAGAACTAATAACATCGAGAGAAAGCAAACACCATAGAGATGAACGCCATTCTCACACTCCTTTCGTAGGAGCCCTACCACTTTAAATGATTTTAGATGTTTGGGGAGCTTATAGCGCATGTCCCCTGTTGTTAGGAACAGAGGATGATGAAGATCAAGCTGAGCTAGTTTGCTGGGGTCTTGGGTTAATGTCGCAGACAAGACCATCTTCACGAGCCTTGGGAAAGGTTTACCCTTGAATCCTCTTTCAACACCGCTGCGTGAAAATGACAATAGCATCAAACATAACCGCACAGATGCAATTCAGAAAATTTAGATCTTTTATGGATTATACTTGAAGACATCCTAGAAAACAAAAACAAAGAAAAGGTTTCATTTATATATTAAAGACCCCTTAAGGTATGCATTCATCCTATACCAGTGAAGTGTATTAAAGTGTAATCCGTTTATTATAAAGGCAGCCTCCCGAACTTCAAGAACATTGGAAGGATTTGAGAACATGTTCATCTTGATCAGACAAAGCATGAAAATCAACATGATAAAGCTCTTCTATATAACATGTAAATATCTAACATGATTAAGAGGTAGAGAGTTAGAGCATACAACTTACAATCTCCGAATTGTCTTCAAGGCACTAAAAGCACAGGGAGAAAAATTGTCAGAAGGGAATAGCGTATCACAAGAACGAGTCAAATGGAGGACAGTGGGGAGCCAGGATTGATATGCCTCCCTAAGTAACCGATCTGTTTCATCAACAACCTGAAACAATGCTATTACACTTTGATAAAATGTCATTTATAGCCTTATTATGAATCTTTTTTACACCTTATTATGAGGAGAGACAGAGACAGAGAGAGAGAGCTAATTGAAAATTTTTATTGCTTAAGTAGAGCGATGTCAGTGAAGTCCCAGTATTTAATCCATCTTAAAGTGTTAATTGCACATGAGTTGACAGCTGAGCTGTTGAAGGTTAGTAAGAATGTAAGATACACCGTAAACAATGGAAAAAGCAATCATGCAAGCCTACTAAATGAGCGTTTCCTACTAGGACTGGGACTAATAGAGAAATCGGTGTTAGAGTGCAAAGATATATTGATGAAATAATGAAAATGCAGGATCAACTATCAAGTCCAAGGGTAACAGCTTGAGCAAACGAACAATCACCAAGAACATGTACATGCCAGCACATTATACTAAATTTATTAAGATTTCAGATATTCATTGTGCATATGTATATTTCAAAACTAGTGCAGATTTACAAAATGCTTGAACAGGAAAAATGTTGGCATGTATATCCAAGTTTCGCATTAGAAAGAAAAGGTGCAACATCCTATAATATGAAAAATTGTAAGATAAAGAAGCTGCTTACAAGGTAACATAAATGCTCAAGCGTAAACCCCTTGGTATTGTAAATGTGGTCCATCAGCCTTCCTGGTGTTGCTACAAGTATGTCTACACCACTCTGCAATTCCTGAGGAAAATCTTCTGGATCATAACATATGCCTTTATCAAACTTTGGTTTCTTTATAAGCTGTGAAATTTCATCAGCTATGGAAGATTGCCCAACTGCTAAGCCAACAGATAAATTTACTGCTGGTGCAAGAGCCTCAAAAACTTCCTTAACCTGAAAGTGGAAACACAATTGGTACAGTAAAATTTGTACATGTCATTTCCTTTTTTGCACATAAAATGATCAATTTCAATGAAATTTAAATTTACTAAGCAATGTTGTACTTTAACCACCAATGTAGTACGCAATTATTTAAATAAAAAATAATAGCACCAATTTTCTTGTTCATGGCTTTATCATGGCTGTGGGTTAAGGTTGCAATCATTCAAATGTGCACAAAAAAATTTAACCGTCTACGAATCTAGACTAGAAGTATATTGGGTATGGTTCAATCTACAAATAGAGTTTTTTGCAATCATGACGAGCCACAGACACTACACTGGCCAAAATGTTATGGCCAACTTTATTAGAAAATAGTACATTACCAGAAATAAAGTCTAAACCCTTTGTAAGTATCAAAACCATGTGAGCCTTTCAATAAAGTCTAAAAATGTACATTATCTATACATTTTAATAAGTTTTGAAAAGAAATCGTATTGCATACGCATCACATCCAGTTAAAACAACATTCCTGCTGTTGCCAATTTTTACCAAACTGAGATTCAATCGGAAAATTTACCATTATTGAGCAAAGAGAGGAAAGCATACCAAAAAAGATAAGTATATTTTAAATATGATAGGTGCTTCCCACATGCAATACTATTCTAATGAGTTTAGCTCCTTCATAGCAGGCATTGAAAATATTAGACTAATAATTGTGCTCGTTACCAAGGCCGAGCCACTGCTAGAAGGCGCCAACAAGACACTATAAGTAAAGCTCTCTCCAGTCTCAATGATATATAAAATATTTATTATTTACCTCTACATATTTTAGTTACTCCTACAAAGTTACAATAGTGACAGATGATACTGTTACTTCCAAAAAAATAGCCAAATAGCCACAAAGAATAGTATGCGCACTTCAAAAGACAACCCAAAATTTTGTGCATTGATGCTGATATAGATAGACTTACAAATCATGCATCAAACAGAATTTTAAGCAAAAGAGAATAATGTAACCACCTGTAGGGCCAGGTCACGAGTGGGCAACACCACCAATGCACGGAGACATTTTACAGCACGATTTGAAAGCATCTGCACAATTGGCAATGCATAGGAAATAGTTTTCCCACTCCCAGTAGGAGAATTTATACAAAGGTCTCGCTCAAAAGAGCCAGGTCCAATCGTCTCTTGCCAAACAGCAACTTGTACTGGAAAGAGAGAAGTTATGCTCATTTCCTTCAAAGCTGCCTCCAACCTAGTGAAAGAAAATAAATCATTGATATTTAATCAGAAGAAAAAAATGGTTTTCCAACAAGATATTTAGAAATAAGATCCATTAGAACAGAAGACATGACCCCTCTGTTTGTGATCTTTGCTGGTTACTTATATTTTCCTTTCTCTCCTCCCTTGTTTATGTTAATCTCTCCTTATATTTGTAGGATTTTACTATTGTGCGTTTTCTGTTCTTTGTCAGTTCGTGCCGGGCATTTTTCGAAACAACGTCTTTACCTTTTAGGTAGGGATAAGGTATGCATACACCCACCCTCCCCCTCCTCAGACCCCACCCCATCCGTGGGATGATAAGTATAACCCCTAAAAAATGGTTGCTTCTTATCTTCCAAGAAGAATATGTGCAAGATATTAAAATTGACTTTCCTACTAAGTGTCTGAGTTCTGTTTAGAAGCAGCTTAATGACAGAACTATTTCTATAATCTACAACTTATTAAACTCATTCCAGAATTTCAGCCCATGAAAAGTCCTTTCTCAGTTTAAATAAAATTTCTTCCCAGTTGCCTTAATCTTAAGAAAATATCGTATAATATTCATGGGTTTCGGAAACACGCACGGGGAGGGGGGGGGGACATGTTCAGAGTCGTACACCTCGTCCCCCTATCCAGCATCCTTTGTTTTCTTTTGATGTATGAATACTATAAAAGATGAGGATGAAGAAAATCCCTGTGTATGGAATGGAATTGAGACAAAGAAATACAATTACAAGTTACAAGTGTGGGGAAATGTTCCAGAGTCCATTATAGTACCCACTCATTCATTATCTAGCCTAAGATTCACATCTGGTCCAGAGTGATGTTCATTACAATATGGTAGGTTTCCTCAAGCCAATGCAAACTGTTAAATTCCAGTATCCCATGATGCATCTTTCTCTCTAATTCAGATGAACTCTAACAAATGCAAGTAAATGTAGGTTTTTGAAGGAAAAGAATGAACTTTTTTGTTCAACATGTAGTTCTTGATCCCTTCCAATCAGAATTTCATAAACAATTAAAATTTCTAAAATGTAAATCCAATAGCTTCAAGAATGTCACACAACGTATCCTATCACACAAGTTCTGCAAAATGCAAATACTTCAATGCGAAAAAATTCAGTGTGCAGGTAAAAAAAAGGAACCTGGGGTCAAGAAAGGGGAGATGGTTGAGAGGGCACTCATCAATCACAGAAATATCAACTGGGCTTCTCATCCATGGCAGTACTGGCACCTTATTCGTCTCGCTTTTCTTCTTTTGTTCCGTTGCTTCCTCCATATCAACAGCGAACTTCTCGTTTAAACTTTCCAACAAACACCAAGCAGGCAATCCACTACGCTTAGGTCACTACTCTATGGAGAACGTTTAAGGTAGCAGAGGCCTGCCAAACAATACAAAGGAACAACTACAAAGCTGCCTGAAAATTTGAATTACACAACAAATCATTTTAATCTGTTTCAAAAAATATGGAAGACACTCCATTATACCCAACTTCATATGAGAAGCAAATATACTGTATGATGTTAAATCATTGGAATTGTGAAGTTAGAAATTATGCCCCATCAAATGTTGAACAAAAACCTACAATTTACCTGATTCAAAGGGTGGGTTTAGGAGAAAAGGCTGGAGGGAGGGCGTCCAAAACCGGGAGAAGGCTGAGGCAAATGTGGACGGAAATCTGCCGTAGGTGGGCGGGCCGGAAGCGTCTTCGTTTGGAAGGGAGACGTCGTCGTTTGGAGGTGGCCGGCGTCGTTGGAGGTACGGCGAGTGGGGGCGTTGGTCTGAGGCGGAGGCACGGCGAGTGGGCTGGCAGCGTAAGGGGACGTCGCTGAGAGTGGAGGAGGGCTGGTTTGCGGCGGGAGGTATGAAGCCGAGGGGCTTTAGAACAGGTGAAATTGAATGTATTATGGCATAATTTTTATTTGATTTAATGTATTTTTTGATAGAGAATTACAGATTGATAAAATAAAATATTCTTATCACCATTTATTTTGTAAAATTTTTGTATAATTTTTTTTAAATACATAATTTGTATTTTTATTTTTATACTAATTTGTAAATAAAATACTCCGTATTAAAAGTCACGAGATGTTGCAAGTTATTCGAAATTATATAGGCTAATTTGGGACAAAGAAAATAAAATAACACTTTTATTTGGACTATCTTAATTTATTTCTCTCTCTTAACGGTGGACACGGTACGGTTCCGGTTTTGGAACCGCCAGGTCCGGTTCCGCCACCCCATAGGACCTTTACCAGTGACAGATTGGACGGTGCCGGTTTCAGTACCAGCATTTCCGGTTTCGGGCCAATTTCGATACCCATTTCGGGCTGATTCCGGCGGTTCCCTTGTTTTTTTGTAATTGTAAATCTGAAAGTGTAAAATAAATCAAATGTTCTTATAATTATAATTTCTAAGAATATAGTTGTTATTTAAATAATGAAAAATGACTAGTACAAAAACAATTATATCTAACGGTTCAAAAAAAGCGGCGAGATAAAGAACTGTAAACAAACCCTCGAATGAGCTTATAAATCGCACACCTAAAAATATCTAATTACAATATAAAATAAAAATAGAAAGTTATTCCTCGGAACTACCGCTTCCCATTGTGGTTGCATCCATGTAATTTTGGGTATCAAAGTTGTACCCTGACTCTTGAGCTTGACATTTTGCCTTGAGCCAATCTCGATTGCAAACAAGTGTCTCAATCGATTTAGCGTTAATACAATTTCGGTAGTCGATAAGAATGTTGCTCCTAGAACTGAACTCTTGTTCCACAGCTACAATTGAATCTGGCATGGATAAGACTTGTCTGGCTAACATCCGAGAAACAGGAACATGTGTTCATTCCGTTTCCACCATTTGAGGACGTCGAACTCTTTTGCATTATCTTCATCTTACTCGCATGGGACCACTTGGTACATCGCAAGTTCATTATGCGAACTTACACTTGCACTACCTAAACTCATCGAGGTAGAAGTACGCTTGCCTTTTTATCAAAAGGCCACCAACTATTCCTTTAAAATCTTTTTTGACTTGGGAGGCGAAGGAGTTGCTACTTCTTCTAGTGCACTACCGTACTGTACTTGAAATTCTTTAAATAATGACTCATAAAGATCAATAGCATTATCTCTATCTTTTGTCTATTCTAATAAATGGTTATAATAATAACTATTTTCATCTAAAAAAATAACTGTAGTAATACTCCACGAGAATTTTAAATGTTCAATCTTAAATCAGGGATCTCAAATATCACCAATTTTATCAATATCATAAATATACAAGTAATAAGCACATCATTTATCCTTCATAGGGTACACATAGGGGTACAAAACTAGATCAGATAAGTTTTCATGAAAACATGTTACAATTGTAATACACTAAGAAAAAATTTGTTTGTCATAGGTTTGTAAGCATGCGAGAAAGTAAGAGTTGCATTATTATGAATTTCTAACACCGTATTTAATTTTTCAACAAGAATAAGTTCATCCAAATCAACCATATGATTAACTTCATATCTGAGAAATGGAGTAAGTTTGTCTTTATACCGCAAGACCCGGTCAATCAATAGTATGTACTATTCCATGTAATCGTACGTAATGTCATTAGCAAATGTAATTACTTTTCTATTCCTATATTTACAGTAAGCTTTCCATGCTTTACTAACATTACGATTCAGCTAAATCTTTTTTACACTAGCCTTACTGTTGGTCAGGATTCCCCCATAGATATTTAATCATTGTTGAACACACAAATTTACAACATGACACACACACTTTTGGTCTAGAAATCTACCCAGGCCACGACGGTGGTAGGGGGCAGATTTCATTAAGTCTATGAATGACAGCAGTATTATTAGTAGCATTATCAAAACCAAAAACAAAGACTTTATCAAGTAAATTGTTTCTTCGAAAATGCGCTCAAGTAAAAGAACAATTGTTGGACATGAGTTCAAACCCATTTTAGATATTCTGTAACATTATTTTTCAGGTTTTGATAAATGACCAACGGAACAATAAAATCGAAACGACGATCAAAAATTTCATTTTCAAATCGAGAAAGCAAAGAGACGTATCAAGAAATTTACAACGTTCAATTTCAACGCTCACCCCTACGCCGAGGTTTTTCATGTGAAGTGAAGATTCCGAAATTTTTTTATTTTATTTGAGTCTAGGAATAAATTGTAAGGATGACAAATATTTTTGCTTAAACAAATTAATTTTTTAGGGATAAGTAATTATTTTTGTGAGTCAGATGAAAAATAAAATTTTCTCTGTCTAAAAATAATTTATTGGGTCAGTTACAAAAAGGTGTATCAAAATTTCTTAAAATAATTTTTTAGATACACAAATTTTTGTGGATAAGAAAAATATACTTTAAACATTTTCGTGTATATCGTTTGACACATAAAAAAATTTGGGACTTATTTCTACACCAAAAATTCAATCTCATAATCCAAAATTGAATTTGAATTATTTTTGATGAGATTGGGAGCCTCTTCCATTGATCTCAATGTCTCAAACAAACTAAAGTGTCCCAAATTGCACTTTCACTCGCAAACATGTCTTGGGTGCTCCATGTTTGGCCTCTATGGATTGATCATCCAGGTGCAAAGCCTTTCGACAGTGGATCGATCCACTATATTGGATCGATCACATTATCCTAGAATTTGTTTGGTGGATCGATCCAGGGGTTGGATCGACCCCCCGTGGCTTTGATCGAAATTTTTACCAAATTATTTAACTTTTGCTGACCGATCATATGCCTTGGATCGATCACCTGTGGTAAAAACTATCAAAAACATTTTATCTCCATCTCCAACGAATTTATTTTCAAACTCTATAAAATCCTTCATCCTCCTTCACTTCATTTACAATTCAAGCACTCCATTTAATCTCTCTCTTACATTCAACTCTTGCTTCAATCTTCTTCATCAAAATATTATTTTGAGAGTTAAAAAAATATTTTTGTTAAGTACAAAAAATATTGTCATCCACCCCCGCCTATGAGCTGCTCAAATTCTTGATCACTTATAGCGTCGCCCATGAAATGCTCTAGGATTGTAGGAAAAGAACAAACAGAGTGTCTCTCTTGAGAAGCACATGAGTTTGAACCTTTAGAGGTAGCGTATGCATTACCTTTGTTAGAACCTTTACGATTCACAACGCCCATATCCACAGATATTCTACCAGAGTCTCTCGACATTTTAATATATTTTTTTATTGATAAAAAATAAGAAAATATATCAGAATATTATATTATTCTAAGTTTATAATATTGGTATTATAATGTATTTCCAATATATTATAATTTTCTAAATTTATGATATTAGTATATATAAATATGATTATATGAACATATGATTATTATTATATAATGATTATATTGGGAATTGAAAAGAATTCAAGACTTAGAAAGAGATTGAGAGAATATGATTTGCGAAGTTTTAAAGAAAATTAGGGGTATATATACGTTAAATTTGACCCCCACTCCCCTAAACCCCACCCCCAAATCCCCAATGGCTTTAATAGCCGTTCTGTAGATTGCTTTCAAATTTGGAGTTTGAATAGATGGAAAGCTGTCTGACAAAAAAAATTGAAACCAGTACTGGCGGTTCTGGTACCGAAAATTATGATCCGGGACTGGACCCGTGTCCACCGGCTTTGGTAACGGTATCGGGTACCGTCTCCTCCGTTCCCGGCTGTGGTAAAGTGGCGGAACCATCGGTTCCGGCACCAGTGGTAGTTCCGCAGCGGTACCGTGTCCACCCTAGTCTTACTCTCACTTCTTTTACTTCATTTTTCTAAGTCAATCTACTTAGGTCGAATTAAGTAGTTTATAAATAATCAATTACTCTATAACTGCTTTTTTTGTGTTGAAATTTATTATGTTTTTTTCATATCATCAATTTTGTTGTTTTTTATGCACATTTTCAGCTATAATCTAATAATCCAATATAGTCATATCTTTTCTTATATACAATTAGAGATTGCAATTGAAAGAGATGGGAGGTCGATTCGAGTCAGGAGTTCAGGATGGAAACATTACTGAAAGAGTAATGTGTACAGAAAACATCATTTTTTTAAAAACATGTAAAAACCCGAATTGAAGCCCAAATCATAGAATCAAAGTATCGTCCACATTTTGGGTTACAATTTTATTTTCTCTCTCTTCTCGATAAGAATTGTTTATTGGTGTGTTTTCATTGATTATCTGATAAAATAAAATATTCTTGTCACCTCTTATTTTGTAGACTTTTGGATGTAGTTTTTTAATATGTAATTTTTATATTTATTAGTGTACCAATTTGTAAATAAAATAATTTTAAAAATCACGAGACTTTACTCCTATTAATACGATGGAGGGAATATTATTTTTTAAAGAGAAAATTAATAGGGTGGATGGAGTATTATTTTTTAAAGAGAAAATACGTAGAGGTCCCGCATATACTAATCATAGTTTTAAAAACCGGACCGGACTGGCCGGTTTGGACCGGGAACCGGCGAACCAGAGGTCGAACCGGTCCGGTCTGGCCCTTTGGACCGCTTCATGCATTGAACCACTGCGAATCGGTGTGAACCAGTAAGAACTGGCCGTTCACCCGGTCGAACCAATTTTTTTTATTTTTTTTTTTTGCAAATTTGGCAAAAATGTTTATTTCTCTACTAAGGTTCAAACCCTGGACTTATGGATTGTTATATAAAGCCATCAACCAACCAAGCAAGAAGGTTTTTTGTTACATAGTGGTTCTAAGTAGTATATATTCCTTAATTAAAAGATTAAGTATGAATTAAAAGATTTCTTTATTTCTTAAACTAAGATTCTTAACATTTAAAAATAGAAATAATTCTAATACGGAGTACGTGTCACGAAAAAAATTCATTTTAATATTTTGGATATTAGGCAAAATATATAAAGAAAAATAAAATGCCATTATTTTATAACACTTTTAATGTACTTCTCGATACGTAAATTTTATTTTAAATATAAGTTGACTAACAAAATAAGTTAGAATAATTAAAATTTCAATCAAATATTATAAAATTTTGTGTGCATATAAAAGAAGTTATTTTTATTTTATACAAAATACGTGTGTGTGTGTGTGTAATATGTTTAAACCACTGGTTCGACTATCTGAACCACTAGTTCAACCAATGAACCAGTACCTGGACCAGTTCGGTCCCAAAACTATAATACAAATACTTAGAGCAGTGGGTATACTCATCACGCCCGCCGGCGTTAAGGGGCGTTAAACGCCCCGGGGGCGTGAAACACCGCCCCCCTCCGGCATTATTAGGGCGTGAGTGTACCAGCGTCATTAGTTTGACGCGGCGTTGCTGCGTTTTTTCAGCCGCTCCCCCCTTCCCAACGGCTATATAGCCGTTACCCCCCCTCCCCCCTAATTAAAAAAAAAATTCTAAATTTAAAAAAAAACCTATAAAATCCCTCTTTCTCATACATCTCTCTCACACCTCCCTCTCACACATCTCTCTTTATATTCTATCTAAAATATTTATTATTTATTATAAATATTTATAAAATATATTTTAAAAATGGGTTCATCTTCCGACGATGAAAGAAGAGCTTTCTTTTTTCGTTGTTTCGCGACGAATTGTATTCAATGGTGGGAAGATGGCCAAGAAGAAGCCGAATCCTCCCGGCGGCTGACCCGACGCCAACATCTAAACCGGAATCGAGAGGCCGCCCACGCTTCACTTCTAAACGACTACTTTAATAATCCGTGTGTTTATACACCGGAGGATTTTAGTAATCGTTTTCGGATGAGTCGTCCTCTCTTCTTACGCATACTCGCCGATGTTGAACGCGAGGTTCCTTGGTTCACCCAGCGGTTTGATGCGAGAGGCCGACGCGGGTTTAGTAGCGTCCAGAAGTGCACTGCCGCGCTCCGTCAGTTGGCGGACGGGACGACATCCGATATGTTTGACGAATACTTGAAGATGTCGGCTCGAAGCATCAGATCCTGTGTTTATAAATTTTCAAAAGCTATTATTCAAATTTATCATAAAAGATATTTACGCAAGCCTACAGTGAGCGACATCCAGCAGCTGCAGGCAAGGCATGCCGCTAAACACGGCTTCATCGGCATGCTTGGGAGTATTGATTGCACGCATTGGAAATGGAAAAATTGTCCCACTGCGTGGCACGGTCAATTTTCCCGGGGAGATCATCCCAAGCCTACCATCATGCTCAAAGTTGTTGGTTCGAATGACTTGTGGATTTGGCATGCTTTTTTCGGTGTCGCGGGCTCGAACAACGACATCAACGTTCTCGATCAATCCCCTGTTTTTGACGATTGGGTTAATGAGACCGCACCGGACCCCTCTTTTGAGCTTAGAGGGACGCTTTACAAGCGTGGATATTATTTGGCCGATAGAATATATCCCGATTATTCCACGATTGTCAAATCCCTCTCCGAACCAATGGGTCTTAAACGTCAGACCTACAAAAAAGCTCAAGAGGCGGCGAGAAAAGATATTGAACGAGCCTTTGGGGTCTTGAAGGCTAAGTGGCACATTCTAGATCGTCCGTCGAAATGTTATTCTCAGACAAAAATGAGGAATATCATGTACGCATGTATTATTCTTCATAATATGATCATAGAGGATAACAGGTCTGCGATTTGTCAATACAACCCGGACGAGGAGGTGCCTATGTACGAAGAAATCACCGAGGAAAAGAAACGACGCAACCGCCAAGAAATTCGAAACCGAGAGATTCACAATGCACTAATGGCGGATTTGATCGAGCATATCTTTAGTCGTTCGAATAATTAGTGATTTCTTTGTACTGTTGTTTTTTTGGTTGTAATATTTTTTTTAATGAATGTAATTTTTTTTGAATGTTTTTTTATGAATGTAAGATTTTTTTAATAATAAATTTAATTTTTTTAATGCACTAGTATCATTGCGATTAATTAACATAATAAATTAATTTAAATTTATTAATTTAAATTTAGAAGATATATATTTAAAAATGTAAAAATGAAGGTTTGAAGGCCCAGTTTGAAGCCCCGGGACTTCAAAACCATTTCCAGTGAATTTTTGGTGTAAGTTAAAATTGACGTGGCAGAGAGAAATAGTTTAAAGCTCTGGTTTGAAGCCCCGATACTTCATATGTATTTCCAGTCCTCTTAGTACTCCGTACTCCATATAACCAAATTTTGCTTTCACCTCCAAACGATCCCTAGACTCGTTCCACCGCCCTTTAAATTCGCCTCCCCAAATCACACCTCTCCGGCTCTCACTCTCCCCCGCCTCCAGACCCTTCATTTCTCTCTGCAAGCCACACACATCGAAATCGAGTGTTTCACCCACTGGGAAAATGGTAGCAAAGGAAGTCATCTCCTTCACGCTTCTCCTCTATTCCATCGCAGCCGTTCACGCTAGAATCCCCGGCGTCTACACCGGCGGCCCCTGGCAGAGTGCCCACGCGACCTTTTACGGCGGCGCCGACGCATCCGGCACCATGGGTACGCTCTGTTTAATTTTTTTTGTTTTCATTTATCTCTGACATATTCAACTCTTAAACGCACATTAGCGATGCGGTTTCGTGGCAAACTCGCCTGATCTGTAAATTTTTAATCCGGTAGGCGGCGCGTGTGGTTACGGAAACCTGTACAGCCAAGGCTACGGCTTAAACAATGCGGCGCTAAGCACTGCTCTGTTCAACGACGGCCTGAGCTGCGGATCCTGCTTCGAGATCAAGTGCACAAACGACAGATCTTGCAGCGAGGGCAACCCCTCCATCTTCGTCACCGCCACCAACTTCTGCCCCCCGAACTTCGCCCTCCCCAACGACAACGGCGGCTGGTGCAACCCTCCCCGCCTTCACTTCGACCTCGCCATGCCGATGTTCCTCAAAATCGCCGCCTACCGCGCCGGCATCGTCCCCGTCAATTTCCGCCGGTAATTCGCTTCGAACTTTCACCGTGAAAATAAAGGAAAGATCTGAAAACGGAATATTTTTGATTTTTTAATTCCTCCGATATGATATGGTGTTGTCGAGGGTATAATGGTAATCTAAGCTACAAACCGTTCATCATTTCCGGTCACTGAAACGCCGGTGGGCCCCGCCTTTAATTTACTCCATTTTGTTTTCTTTTTTTATTTTCCAGGGTTTCATGTAGAAAGCATGGCGGTATCCGGTTTACGGTGAACGGATTCCGTTACTTCAACCTGGTTTTGGTGACCAACGTGGCGGGTGCGGGCGACATCCACAAAGTATGGGTGAAGGGATCCAAGACCCAATGGATCTCGCTGTCCAGGAACTGGGGGCAAAATTGGCAAACCAGCGCATTTTTAGTGGGCCAGTCACTCTCATTCAGGGTCCGAGCCAGCGACCGTCGCCAAGTGACGTCGTTTAACGTGGCACCTTCGGGCTGGCAGTTCGGGCAGACCTTCCAGGGCAAGAATTTCCGAGTTTAGAACATCCCTCCCCGGCACTCCCTCAAAATGCTATGCCGACCCCGGAGAATTCCGCAGTCTCCAAACTTTACCCAATATTTTTAGTTATTTAACCTTCTGCCACTGTTTTTCTCGGCCTTTAGTGTTTTCTCCCCCCTTTTTTATCCCGGGAATTGGAAGTAGGGACTGAAGCGGCTGCAGGAATGGCAAAGTTGTAGTATTTGCGATGTAGCCCGCAGCTCTCTTTAATTACTAGTATTTCCAGAAAATTAATACTCCCTCCGTTTTTTAAAACACTTCCTCTTTCATTTTTTTCATTTCCAACAAAACACTTCCACTTTCTATTAAAAAATCACTTTTACCCTTACTTTTTCATACCCTACCTATCACATCATACTTTATCTCTAATAATCTATCCATCACATCTTACTTTTACCTATTACATCAAGGGCAAAATTGGAAGTCAACTACAATTTAATACTTCCTTATTTTTACACAAAGTCAAAATAGGAACACTTTTTCCAAACGGAGGGAGTACTACATGCAATGAAATTGCCAAGTATTACATGAATGAAAGAGCTCACAAACAAGATGCTCACAAACTTCACAAACTTACTATTAATGGTTTAAATTTTCATTTTAAAATTATTTTAGACTATTTAATTTTTTTTATTGAAGTTCACAAATAGTAAGTTTGTGAAGTTTGTGATCATTGTGTATGTGAACCAAGCATTTTCCTGAATGAAATAGTCTTTTTCATTTTTCTAGTCTTGATTCCATAGTTAAGTTTATGCATTTCTTTTTCAAAGATTCCAAAATTAAATTTATATTTCACTGCCGTCTTTTTTGGAAATAAATGTATTATTTTTATCTATTTTGTCAATTCTTAATACTCTGTAAATCTTAACAATGTGGAAAAAAGATGTACGATCAGACTTGTTCAAAGTGATTCACGGGAGATTGTTAGATGACTATTAATCATGTTCTATTGGAACAAAATAAAGTAGCAGATATCATCGAGAACCCACCTAAGAGTGTGCATCAAGTTTTGGAAGAAGATAAAAAGGGTTATTCTTGGGTAAAAAGTGTGTTGGCTAGGAACAATTTTGAGGTCTTGAGCTCTTTGCCTTCCCTTTAGATCCAAAAGAAAATCTCAAGATTAGTTTCACATTAAAAAAATTGTGTAAACTCAAAGACATAAAGGAATCTTTGAATACACATTGATATTTATTCTTTCAATTTACTCATAGTATCTTTCTTATACTATTTGATTCACCCTTTTCTCAAATGAAATGCGAGAACAAGAATCGAGAGTTTTAGAATCCTTTGCCATGATAGAATCTTATCTTTTTATAATTTGTTACCGAATAGGGAGTAGAAATAATATTCTGTAAGTAATTTCATATTCTAATACATATATAAAATATACTCCCTCTCTCCCAATTTATTTCACACTTTTTGTAAAACGGAGCAAAAATTTAAGTTTCTTAAATCAATTTTATTTAAAGATTGGTATATAAATTAAAAATAAAAGCTACATATTTAAAAATATGTCAAAAGTTTTACTAAATAATACTTGACATAAATATTTAATTTTATCAAATAATCAATCAAAATATATAAACAAACAAAAGTTTTTGTAATTTTTGAATAATGAAAATTAAAGTGTAATTCTTTTTTTGAACGGAATGAATATGAGGTAATACTCCGTAATATTCTCTATCAAATTTCATATTCTGTTAAATACTTTCTACGTCCTAAAAAAAATTTTGTTCCTAAATAAATTTTTCATTCTTTTTAAGAAATGAAATGGATGGTTCACATTAACAAACTACTTCCTCCGTCTCTAAAAGATCATTCACTTTTTTTGTTGTCCCCAAAAGATGTTCCCTTATTTTATAAAAAACCACATTTACCACTTACTTTTTCATACTCTACTCATCATACTTTTTTACTAATAATCTATCCATTACATCTTCCTTTTACCCATAACATCAAGGGTATTTTGAGAAAATCAATACAAAAATATTCTTCTTTAATTTCTCAAAAAGTCAATAAGGAAACCCTTTCGGGGAGGGAGGAAGTATATTCTGATCTATATCAATCGCTATCGCTATACTTCGCATCAATCACAACCAAACATATTTATTTCTTTAAACTTAATGAAAAAGTAAATGAGAATTCTAATTTAAAACTAAGGGAGTATATATTGTAAGGTAAAACTTCTAATTATAAAATTTATTTATTTAAAAAAAATATTCTATATATCGATTTACATATAAACATTTATTTCGGAAAAATGGGAGTAATAAATTTTAAAAGAGCATCAACAATGGCAAGGCGAAAATAGAATGCCACACGGTGACATGGAACATTTTAACCAATAAAAAATAGTTCAGTTAGCGTGTGGCAAGTGAATGGAGTGGCAAGTCCTACAATGGCAAGTCATTATTTTTTATCAATTTTTTACATTTTTTATGTTTTTTAAACATAAAAAAATATTTTATTATTTATTTTATTAAAAAATTATTCTACTTTCTTGTACATTTTTTTTCATAAAAAATTTTAAAAAAAATTATTTTAAAAAAAATGAAAAAAGAAGGATGAAGTGCCACACTCATGCCTCACCAAGCAAAGCATTTTGGTCTTGCCATGCCATGATATGAGTGGAAGAAGATGACGGGGTACTGCAAGGCATCTCTTTTACTTCCATTGCACATGAATGAAAAGATTATACTACCTCCGTCCCACTGTCTTTGTCCACATTTGACTTTTGGAACTGTTCATCTAAGCACTTTAACTCATCAAATTCTCTCAATGTGTAAGCCTAAAAATAGTCATGTGTGATCTTGTTTGATTCGTCTTAACATATAGTAGTAGATTATTAATACTTCCTCCGTCCCACAAAAAAGTTCCCATTTTGAATAGTATTTAGTCAAACATTTCTATACTTTGACTACAAATTGTGAGAAAAGTATATTGAATTATAAAATAAATTTAATATAATTGGATTCATTTTAGGATCTAGTTTTGAAATTTCAAATTTTTTTAGCATTTCTTTATTTAGATTATTTTTAATTTATGGTCAAAGCGTGTGACTGTTTGACCAATTTATGGTCAAAATGGGAACTTTTTTATGGGACGGAGGAAGTATATAATTTCTATAATTTTTTAATATACAAATAACAAGATAAAATGAATTAAAGAAGTGCATTGGATGGTGTGCTAAAAGCTAAGTGGACAAAGAAAGTGGGACGGAGGGAGTACAAACGTGGGATGGACAGATAGTATGTTGCATTGAAAACATTGCGATTTGTAATAGGGCAACACAAAAAGACACACACAGTGTCGGCCAAAATTAGAGGAGGGAAGTAATGGAGTTTAATGGGTGGGGGTGGGTGTGTTGGGCAATAAAAATGTGACTTCAAACAGGGGAAACATTTCTAACATTACGTACCAAACATTTGTTTCCATTTTCGTACCACTCTGCGTACGTATGAGCAATTTCATGTCTAATATATGAAAGTGTTGGTTGACTTACTACTATGTAAATTACTCCTTGTATTATACTTCATCCATTCAGTAATAATCTTTCCGTTCATAATTCATAGAGTCAGATTTTAATCACTTTATTACTCTAGTTTTGATACTCATTTGATGAAAAAGAAATCTCCCTGAATAAGAAAAAAAGTATGAAAATACCAAAACAGAAATCCCAGGTCTTTTAAGACAAGATATGAGTATAATGACAGTATGGTGAAAGAGTACGCATTGACGGTGTAATGAAAAAGTAATGACAGTGTAATATAGAAGTGTGATCAGTTAATCATTGGTAATCCGTGGTGACACTCTGGTGTCGGATAAAATATCATTCTCATGGTACTAAATAACGTGATAAAGCTAGGTTGGCTGTTTTCGGTATTCATCAAGAGTTAGAGGGTGGATTACACTAAATAATATTGTCTGTGGTTGTTGCTTGTGATTAGGAAGTTCACCAACTCAATGTGAATAATGTTTTTCTTCACGAGGATTTAAAGGAGGAAGTATATATGAAGTTACTTTTGGGATATACTCAGGCGTACCCCAGGAAGGTTTGCCGTATGCGCAAATCCTCATATGGTCTCCATCAGTTTCTGCGTAATTGGTTTCAAAAATTACGCCATGCTCTACGTCATTATGGTTTTCGGCAAGCTCATGCTGATCATACCATGTTTGTTTATCACCACGGTCCCGACATTCTGGTGGTCCTTGTTTATGTTGATGACATTCTTGTTGCAAGCAATAATAGTTCTTTCTTTCCCTCGTTCAAGAAATACTTAGATGATTGTTTCCACCTCAAGGACCTTGGCCCGGTCTCTTATTCTTGGGGATAGAGTGTGTTCAGTCAAAGAAGGGTATGGTGTTGAATTAAAGAAAATATGCCTTTGACATTATTCAAGAAGCCAATTTGTCTAGTTGCAAGCTCGCTGGCATTCCTTTACCTATGACTCATAATCTCACGAATTCCACTAGTCCGGAGATCCGCGATCCTGCTAGGTATCATCGAATTGTCGGACGTTTATTGTATTTGACTATTACACGACATGACATCTGCCATGCAGTTCATGTATTATCCCAGTTTATGCCAACACCTCGGTTAGGTCTTTTGAATGTTGCGTTACATGTCATTCATTACATCAAAGGTCATCCAGGCCAGGGATACTTCTGCGCAGTGATAGTAATAATCTTGCACTTGTGGCATATTCTGATTCTAGGAAGTTCCCTCTCACTCGGCGTTCTGTCACAGGGTATTTTGTTTTTCTTGGCGGTTCTCCCGTATCAGGGCGTACCAAGAAGCAGACAACTATGTCTCATTTTTCACCTGAAGCTGAATACCGTTCCATCGAAAATGCTTGTGCAGAAGTTTGTTGGATACGAGGGATCCTTGCTGCATTAGTTGTCCCATGCGTGACTACTTCCAGTTTATACTCTGACAACAAATCTACTCTTTTCATTATCGCTAAACCGATGTTTTATGAGCGTTCCAAACACATTGACTCTCATATTGTATAGCGGCGGCATATTATTACCGCGTATGTTCCTACACGTCTTCAAACTGCGGATATCTTCATTAAAGCTATCTCTACTCCGTTTTTTCGCTCTTTATTATCCAAGTTGGACATTTTTTATGTTCATGCTCCAACTTGAGAGGAAGTATAAGAGTATATTGTATTTATTGTATTTATTGTATATAGTTTCCTTGTAGGAATATGTTTCCTTAGATAGTTTGTTAACTTGATGTACTATATATATGACTGACATATCAATGGAAAGGCAAGCAATTCATTCCATAAATTTTACAGTTCTCCTTGGCCCGTTGTAAGTTTATACAACCTCTACGCACGATCACGATAGTAGTTTTAGGAGGGGAGCATTCATGAAATTAATTAATAAGCTAGTTGGGCATGTGCTTAGAAAAAAGGATTTGGTTTTTCATAAAAAAATTCTGATTGTTTGAGGCAAAGATTTTAGATGTCGATCACTATAAGATTCTGGTTTTCAAAGGGTTTCCAACATTTATAACCT